TCTTTGCTAATTTCTTCGCAATAACGCTGACAAACATTTTTAATGCATCTTTCGGCCTGAAGGTCTTCCCAAAATTGTGGAAAGAATTCTATTTAGCGCCAATACCAAAAGTTGAACCATGTACCGAATTGGACGAAATAAGACCAATTGCTCTTACTAGTACAATTTCGAAAATACAAGAATTGTTTGTGGTTGAATTGATATATATAACGATATAGCCGGAGGTTTCAGTTTGTAAAAATCAGTATGGTGGTGCGCAATGTTCGTCAGCAATCCTTGCACTTGTTCATCTTCTGCATAAATGGAATAAAGCATTAGAGCTGCCACAACAAGTAATAAGAATTGTGTTTTTGAGCTTCCGTAAAGCGTTTGATCTAATTGACCATAATGTTTTATTGGATAAGTGTTGCGATGTTGGGGTACGTCCTGGACTTGTTAGTTGGCTGTGCTGATATTTAAGCGATAGGATGCAAATAACAAGGCCTTTGGTAATCAACTTTTTTCATGTTGTTCTATCAATGGAAGAGTGCCCCAGGGTAGTTGCCTTGCATGGCTCAATAGCATTCATCGCCTTTATTAATGGTTTGCAAACAGTGGTTAATCGCTCTGATAACAATTCCACCGATACGACGTCTGTACCAACGATAATGGCAATGATGTAGACCTTATTTACCCTTTTTATGGACGATGAGTGATGATACTACACTTTCGGAAATCGGAAGTCCATGACGTCATCGCCCATATCTCAGGATCGCAAATCGGAAGTACACCACAAAATGTTAGGAAAATTATGGATTTTGCCGCTACACAAAAAAATGGAATTAAATCTTTAGAAATGCAAAGAAATGTAGTTCCGTAAGAACAAGACATTAATTCCTGCACTCTTATACAATGATACAACCTTGAAAAGGGTCTCTTCGTTTAAATTACTTTGTTTATGGATAGATGACAATCTTAAGTGGGGGACAAATACTGACTATTTGTAGGAGAAGCATTAAAGCGACTTTTCCTACTAACGATATGAAAATATTTTATATTTCTGCGATTCGACCCAAACTTGAATAGTGGGGCACAAGTATGGCATGGAGTCTAACAATAGCAGAGAGTAACAGAATCGAAAAGGTACAAAAAAGAGTATTAAGGATAATTTACTCTGAAAAAGGCTATGATTGTGTATTGTCAAAACCTGGGATGAAATCACTTCAAGAATGTCAAATTGCGATAGGCATTGATCTAATACATAATATGTCTAGCCCACAACACAAGTTCCATCTCCTCCCAAATAAACTCTCCCAGACAAGGCAGAGGCACGCCTTGACCTTGTCCGAGCTAAAATTAGGGCATGCGATAACTATGACAGCTAGACCAGAGATGGTCCATATGTAGGGTGAAATAGGACTTTCTAGAACATAATAATACTCCATTAACTGCAAATTTATAACTTGCGCATAATTTTTTTATTCACTGGCTGCCGTTAGCCAACTCGAACTTCTGATTAGCTGAAAATGCATCAATTATGCTGTGAATAATTATGGTAATGCATGCGTAATAAGATATGCATGAGACGAAAATTTCTTACCTGAGTGCTCCTACTGTTTATTCCCTATAATTGCTACGACATTGTGATTGGCTGAGTGGTTTGACCATAGTCCAGTAAAACCAATGACTTTGTCAAAGTCTTCGAAACAAACAACATTATAGCCAAACTCGAAGCCGCGAAATCGTTCAGGAAACGCACAATCCTTGCTAATTTCACTATTAAATGTACTGATATTACAAAATGACAGCGCCAAACTGTATAATGTCAACGATTTACGAAGGATTTTCCAAAGCTTGATCACGGATTAGGTATATGAATTTTATACTTATAGTTTATTAGGTGCATGGGCTTTGTATAATGTTGTTTTTTAATAGCAGTTCAGATTCGCTTAGGAGGGACTTTGACTTTATATTTGATATTTTTAACATTCCCGACCTTCAGTAGGCTTTACTGTAAAATTATAAAGAGGTGAAGTCGGGTTAGTTTATATCTTTATTTGACTTCATTTGGCCGGGAGTTCATTCAGGAAGGCATACGTATGCACAACTAACAGCAGTTGCGGACTACGGTGAAATCTTTGTGTTCGTAAACTGAAGCTTATAGTTTATGCCATCACATTTCGCTCGCGCCAAATACAATTGAAATAATATATAACGGCATGGTACTAAAACCTGATGCAGTTTATCATTTTATTATCTTTTGATTAAGTTGCATTCGAGGCGACCAGAGTGCGGCGTATAAACTCGGCGTATAGACCAGCCACAGAAGAAACAAAATTTGAATATTCCTAAGAGAATACCTTCACCGTAGGGACCATAACTAATACGCATAAGACGTATTTTTCTTTTCTACCCTGTTTATACATGAGCCGGGTTACTCTAGATTTAACAAAGTATGGTACGATTTTGAGGTAATGAAATAAATAAACAACATGAACCTGGTGGTCGTGCAGTCATCCTAACCATAGCATGTGCTTGTTTACTGTCTGAAAAACTTATTTTAATGCCTCAAAATTATCTCACGCCTCGTTGAATATCGGCTAAGTGAGCTCATGTGAACAGCCCCAAATTGGGGATTTTCTTTTTTCATTCCATACGAGATTTTGTGTGATCATTTTTCGCGATTCATTTTGGGATTAGCCATGGGATTAGAACTGCTTGACAGTCGGTAGTTAAAAAATTTGCCCTGCTGCAGGGCCAACACGGTTAAGTCGCGTTTACCCTACGTGCTTTGACCTCGGGCCTGGACCAGGCCTAGGCCTAGATATGAACGTTGTTTATCCGGCCTAGACCTGGCATGGACCTGTTCTAAGCCACAAATCCAGAAGGTGGCCTGGACCCCGGGAAAGATTATTTATGGTAATGCGAACAGGCTTTATACCTAGTCCAGACATTTTTGAACTTGTTAGTATGATTGGCGTGTTTTGGGTTACCAAGTATTTTGTCAATTACATTCGCTATCCGATATCATCAACAAGGAAAACAATGTGAACGTGGCACATGTTACCTGGACTTGTCCTAGACCTGGTCCATGTCTAGGCATGAAGTGTAAACGCGGCTTTAGATCTCTCTTGAATTAGTCAACTTGAATAATTATTATGCACTGAATATGTAGTTGTAAACAGTACCTTAAGGTTAAAAACATTTAGTTTGCTTGTTGAATAAAACTATATATAGACTTGCATTTTTAATTTGAACTTAACCACCGCTTCAATTAAACGGGCTTCATACAACCAGACCCTGGTGTATAGTTTTAGAAACTAGGAATAAGGCAGGCTGGGCAGCTAAGGTGAAAATTGCGATACACAAGGCTTACTGGTCTAAAAACATTAGGGATGACAAGTGTTCATTCAGTATTTGCAAACAGTAGGCAAAAACTAACAAATGAAAAACCAGCAAGTTGTAATGTCTTTCACCCCACAAAACAGCTAACCTATAAAATAATCATAGTAATAATTATTTCAATCCTGCAGTAAGATTCCCACACAAAATAGACTCGCAAATATCTTTGAAATACAAAGAACTGAAAATAAGGAAGTACTTTTGGCATCTTTGGTAATCCATACATAATATTACTCGTATATATTAGCTACTTTATTCCTACAACCACAAAAAAGCTTATTTTTAAACGTGACTTAAACTCAGTAAAGAGAGATCCTAAACTTTTGTATATTTATTTATTTATTTGTTAGTATTTAGGTAAGTTCTAAGAGGCTGTTCTTTCATTTAATAAGCTATACAGATTTGCAGATAGGAAATTATTTTTCTATTATTGGCAAAATTAGGCATAAAACCACCTTAAAACCCCGCAATGTAAAAAATAACCCGTCAATTTAAAATTGTTCTAAATGAATTCTTTCAAATAGCAGGCTAAATTCTACTTTCATTTTTTGCAGGGTGAACATGACGGAAGAACTTTTCCACCCCGTGTACGTCCTGGCGTAACTTCAACAACAGGCAAGTGGAAAGTTTATATTCGATATAGAAATTTCTGTTCTTGTAAAAAGGCTAATCAAAACTTTATCAATAATAATATATCGACTCAGCCTCAATCCCTCGCTATGAATAAGGTGGTTTACTAACTTGCTTTGGTGCTTGATGAATGGCAAGCACAACTGCTCCAAGCATATACTGCATGCATATCTGCCGAGTTTATATTCATGCATTCATTGCTCTTGTATATTAAAGCCGTTTCTCGTGCAAGTTCCTTCTTCCTGTTTCGATTCGGCAGAACAAGAGACAAAAATCAAGATGCTTTAAACCGTATAATGTTGATCTAATCATGCATGTGCATGACTCGTGTCAACAATTTTCAACAATTCTGAAAATGGCGGATGCATATTTAAAGGAATATTTGCGGTCGCGTAGAGTGAAATGAAACATCTTCTTTAAGAGATCGTCATAAAACATGGGATTGTTTTCTTTATCGTGTTGAATTGCAAATTACGTCATTACTAATATTATGGACTCAACTTGTCCTTTTCCCAGCCACATTTTCAGCTTGAAATGCACATACCGCCATCTTTTTTATATAATCGTTGATTTAATTATAACGTATTACATTACAGCCTATTACAATCATACTACACTTCTTCTACGCATGCTCGTATATCTGACTGTAATATTGTATTCGATGCCTCTGCATTGCGAATAACTAAACTTATATTAATCTAATATTCTTGTATGTTTGAATGGTGACATCAATAAGTAAATTAGCTTGTAGGTACACCACGTAAGTATTTAGTACTTACCCGTCACTTAAATATAAGTGATGTGTAAATGTGTTTTCAGCCTTTCAGGTAATTGCACTGATGAAGGCCAGGGTTACGCAAGCGTAATAAAGACTTACGTGGGTCACCTACAAGCTAATTTACTTGCTGATTTACTTTTTGCTAATACTACTATTATTAACATCACAAACTCTTCATTTTATCATCTCCTAACCTTATATTAAACTGCTTCGTATATTAAGATTTACCAAGCCAAGAACTACAATAATATATTAAGAATGCTTTTCCAAGTCATTGGCCATTCTACAATTTCTATAGTATATCATGCTGGTTTTGAAACTTCAACTGTTTTCATCTCCCTGAGAGGGAAATAAATACCAATTAATGTATTTACGTTTAGCCACAGTTGTGTATGCACTGATTTAAATTTCTTGGCATAAGAGGAAGTCTGGGGCTGCAGGGGCAGAATTTCAGAAACGAGCGCATATATATATATATATATATATATATATATATATATATATATATATATATATATATATATATATATATATATATATATATATATATATATATATATATATATATATATATATATATCGTATATGGTTTCTATCTTTTAGAAAGTAGAAATGAAATTATTTAAACAGAGATGAATGCGCTAAATGCCATATACATGCAGTGGTAAAGAGATTTTGTTGTGAATATGGACAACTATATGTAGGCAGCCAAATATGTTCTCCGGCATGCAACCTTAGATCCGTTTATCTGCTTTGGTTAAATCCTTATTATTTTATAATAATCTGAAGCATTTTTAAATAAAGCATACAAGGTTAGTTCATACCTTAGTAACAACCATAAAGCTCAATACGCATACATATGTTGACATGCCAAGACACTGGATGTATACGAATATAACGAGCAGTGATTGGTGGAAACAGAACATTCTTCACTATGGTTTTATAGTCACTATTCCCATCGAATATCTAAATAAAAGGTCAAAACTGAGTATATACTGATGCAATTTCTAAAACATATAAAATCGGACCGCCGATACAGTACTGTACATTTAGCGACAAACACCAGACATACTTTTACATGCCCTTGTCCTGTATGCGAATATCTTCAGAATATTATCATTAGTTTATTGTTTTGGACAAAATAGATGATTAACTTCATCATTCACATCGCTCGAGTTGACAAAAATCTGAGTTAACCACGCAACTCAACAAAAAGGTTGAGATCACATTGTGCCAATGTATATATAACATCCGTATCAATAAACGCTTTTATGACATTTGAGCAGGTAAATTATTTAGATAAAATTTAAAATGCATGTAGGCCGGTTGTTCGAAAGGCGTTTAGCTGAAACGGTGGATTAGCCAAAGTTTAAAAATACTCCCATAGATCTTGTGGATGACTGAAATTACATCTTATTCATTTAATATGCACTTAATTCCATTGACAATTAAACTATTTACATCGAAATATCTCAGCTCAGTTTGTTCAATAAATAGAGTTTTATTTTCCATGTTGAACTTATCCACCGTTTAAGCAACGCCTTTCGAACAACCGGCCCCAGGGGTTGTTTTAATACCTTTCTTTGTACTCGCTTTGGGCAAGCAATTCAGCACATTGTGAAAAACTCATTTTGGAGGCAAAATGTTTTATAAAATTCAAAAGTGATGCACCGCTCAACCTTTGTTAATTACACTCGTTTAGAAGCAAATTAGCTTGTAGGTACACCAAGTAATTATTTAATACTGCTTGCAAAGATTTCGGTCCGTTAACCAGAGCCTTCATCAGTGCAACTTGACCCGAGTTAACGGATAAAAAGCTTTGTAGCAAATTGAAAGTACATTCGATGATGCGAAACTAAACAAAAGACGTTTCCCGAACTTGTGCTCTGTAAATTAAAAGTGTTTCTTTACATCTACATCTACATTCAGCCGCGGAAATGCATCTCAGATGTTGGATTGCAAAGCCAAACAAAAAGTTCTGACAAATTCGTCTTATTGGCCTTTTTTCCTCTCCAGGTGCGGAATTTTTAGAAAAATGAATGAAAGTTCACCCCATTGTTTCTATTCTATTTATCTAAAACTATACTTTTTTAAAGCTCTGGTCTCGAAGCTTGAAATGGAAAAATAAGCGTAGGAAGGAAGTATTGATAGAAATAACGGCTAGAAGCGCCCAAAATGGTTGCCGCAGAGCTGAAGGAAATTTTTGAAATTTCAATTTTTTAATCTAATGGCACTTTATTTATAGTCTTATATTCCAGTCTTTGAATTATCTAAGACACGAGGAATTTTTTCAGACTCACTTCCCATTCCTATTACAATTCCTATTGAAAATCAGACAAAACTACCGATTTTCCAGAAGGTATAGGGGAAGTTCCTAGCCCGATACCGAAATTATCGCCACTTTGTCTATTTTTTGCACAAGAAATGTTTTAGGTACGGCTTCAAACAATCCCTGAAACTCAAATACTATTTTTCTGGTAACTTTTGCAGTTAAATGAATTAGAAGACCCAAAAATTACTCATAGATGGATTATTTAAATATCAAAATCTTTAGAAATTATTCATTTATCAAACACTTATTAACTGTATAGTTATTTTATACACCCTGCAGTGCAATATTTCTTACCTTATCAACACCTCCATCTTTATAAGATTCGAACGTTGTTCCATTTAAACTATGCTCCACGGAATAAGTCTTGACGAGACAAGCATGATCATGATTTTGATAATAACGTCCTCTCTGAGTGGCAATCCCTGAGACAACTTCCTTCTCGCCAAGATCAACCTGTATCCACTGGTTTTTGTTGTCTATTCCTGCTCTCCATCCTCTCCCCCATTTACCACTGTGGTTGAACACTCGTCCATAAGCTGCTGAGTGACTTGTTTTCCAATAACTCGAAGAAGTCAATTGAGAATCTTTAACTTTTTTATTATCTTCCACACCAAGTGTCTTCTCACCAGCTTTACAAGGAATGGTATTCACTAGAAAGTATTATAAAAATCTTAATTTAACTGATGCCCGTGAAACGAATCCCACTTGGCTCAAACGATACAATCTAAATTGAATAAAATTATTATTTTTAGTTCGGCTGTGCTCTTATATCAGTCATGTACGTGTCAATGTCTTAATCAGGAAACACGTGTAAATATGGACAAAGAAATATATGTTATTTACCAGATTGGAGGTCCGTATAGGGAAATATTACCCAAGGTCTCAAAAACAGCCCGAGGCCAAAGGCCGAGGGACGTTTTTGAGACCGAGGGAAATATTTCCCTATACGGATCGACTAAACTGGTAAATAATAGATCTATTTTTTTAATTCGTGCATGCGTGCGAATGTTAAGTGACGCCATAATTATAAGGAAGACATGTTTATTTCAAAACAAGGTCCAAGCGTACAAAAGCGGTTTAGGACTACGTTTACACTACTCCGGATCGGTCTGAAAACGGTTCAAAAAAGTATCAAAGCGGGGTTGCGTTTACACAGCACCGGAGCGGATTTGTTCGAAAACGTCACCTTTGCCGTAGCGACACGACCACACTTTCTAAACGTGGTCGAACGAAAACGGAGCGCTACTTGGCGTTGTGTAAACACTGCACCGTTAATATTTTGCTACACTTTAATTACCCGTCCTTACGATGCCTCAGTGGATTCGTCCCGCGCTGTGGCGCGTAATTCAAAATGGACAACGTTTTATTCTTTGAAAAACTTTTCATGACAGTTTCCGTCGCAATTTTGGGAAGTATGGCGATGTTGTCTAAAAAAATACACTCTAGAAGGAATGCTCGAGCGACATTATTGCGGACGGTTTCGTTAGGCAAGTCTATTCGACTTGTTAAAAAAAAACAAAATCGAAAGAGGGGAAAGTATTGGACTCGTCCGTGTAGGACCAGTATCTGGTGGGAAAACATTATATCAGGTACTTTGAATTCATCTTAAGCAATAAATTAGTGTTTAGTACCCATCTTTAGTGCGAACAGTGGGCCATTTCATAACATTTTTCGAATGTAAACTGCCCCCCCCCCCATGCCACAAAACCAAAGGGGATTAACATTGATGGTGGGATTTTATGATTTTAATTTGTATCTGTATGTTTTATTAAAGATAAAAAAAATCACTTTCAGGTGTTTCATGCGAAAGCGAATGGCATGAAAATTTCCGAATGTCCAGAAAAATGTTTACCTATTTGTGCAATGAGCTGCAACCTTTCATTAAAAAAAAGGACACGCACATGAGAAGAGCTGTCAGTGTAGAGGTGCAGTTAGCAGTGACACTTTACTATCTTGCTGATGAATGAAGACTAAGGAAAGTTGTGAATGCATTTGGTTTGGCAAGAAGTACTGTTTCAATAATAATTAAAAGGGTTACATCAGTGATATCTTGGCATCTGGGCCCAAAATATATTCAGTTACCAACAGAAGCCAGGGAAGTTCAAAACTTGGTATCACAATTTTACGCCAGTCATGGATTTCCACAATGCATTGGTGCTTTGGATGGAACACATATTTTGATTAAACAACCTCTTAAGAATCATACAGACTACATCAACAGGAAAGGAAGGTATTCAATGAATGTTCAGGCAGTATGTGATTACAAATACTGCTTTATTGATGTGGTAATCAAGTGGCCTGGGTCAGTTCATGATGCAAGAATCTTTGGAAATTCCCAGATAAATCAAAAGCTTCGTGACAAAGTTTCCAAATCGTCTTAAAGGCAGATTTGGCATTCTTAGACGTCCTATAGATATAAATCTATTGGATGCACCAAAGCTCATTCATTCTTGCTTCATTCTGCACAACATAAGTGAAGGTAGAAAAGAATATCTAAATACAGAATGTATAAATGCTGCACAAAAGTATGATCAGGAGTTCCAGCCACATTGTGTTACAAAGTACGTGAAGAATGGGAAGTGGTTTTCCATCTGTAAAAGCAAGACGCCGAGACCAAAAATTGCCGCAACAACTCAGGAAAGCCGGAGTCAGCAAAGAAGGCAGAAGATCAGAGAGAAGAGAAGAAAGACAAGGACGAATTAACATATATGTGAGTGTTAATAATTGTGATTGTGATAATGTGTGTCATGTCGGTGATAATTGTCTTTTAGTAGATAGCGGGGCAACTAGTCATATAATTAACGACAAGTCTAAGTTTATCAATTTCAACAAGAATTTAAACCAGATATGCACGTTATAGAGCTCGCAGACGGCAGTAAAGCTAAGGTTGTAGCAAGAAAGGGCGCGGCGAAAGTAAAGTTTTATGACGTAAACGGAAGCTCGCACGAATTAATCCTAAACGTTAACAACGCGCTTTATGTCCCATCTTATAAGCAAGATATCCTTTCGGTCAACGCGGCGTTAGAATACGGCGGCAGCATGAGCCTAGATAAGCGCAATAAGCATTTTAAGAGCGCAGATGGCACAGTCTTCGATGTAAAGAAAATAGGACGCCTAATTATCTAAATAGCATTTCACCATCTAGGAATAATGCAGTTTCTCTGTTAGAATGTCATAGGATCTTAGGGCACTGTAATCTTACTGACATACGTAAACTAGAGAAGGTTGTAGACGGCATGAATATCCCAAATTATGATGAGGCTGACTGTGAGATATGTACCCAGGATGAAATGACACAGACCAGATAGACGAGAGAAGGTTTTATTAGATTTAGTCCACTCAGACTTAGCAAGACCAGTTAGTCCAGATGGTCAAGATGGTTTCAGGAACGGTATCATTCGTTGACGATTATAGTGGTGTGATCGTGATATTTTTTTTGAAACACAAATCTTACACTGTTGAGGCTAAAAACAATTTCTTGCTCACATGGCACCTCTTGGCAAAGTGAAATGTGTTTTTTGTGGGGCGAGTTTCGACCACTTTTACGGGATAGTAAGCCATTAAACACGAGACATGTGCGCCCTACTCACCCCAAGAAATTGAGACGGCTGAAAGGGCTTGGTAAAGTTTATTTAATATGGCAAGGTGTTTATTACTCGAAGCAAAGCTTCCAAAGACCTTATGGACATATGCCAGCCTCGTCCCCGGCGCGGCGGGGGAACACGCGTGGGTCAGTGGGGAAGCTCTCGCGGGGGAACACGCGTAGGTCAGTGAGTTAGCGAGCGCGGGCGGAGCGCCTGGCAGAAAATGCGTTCAAGATGGCGGCCAAACAAAGAAATGAGCAAATATTTCTTAAGTTTTTTCTTATCCACTAAAAATTTGTTTACAATACCTCTGAGAATTGTTCTTTGGACACTTTCAACGATTTCATCCATTTGTGAGTGATTTTACGTCATATTGTGGTAATAAAAAGGCACAGATGTAACAAAATACACTTCTCTTCGATTTCTGTAGAATGGCTTGCGTTTTCTGCCAGGCTCCATTTCGTGTTAAAACTGCGCACGACATTCCCCACGCGCACGATGCGCACGTAACGACGCGCACGTAATGGAGCCTGGGGACGAGGCTCTGACAGGATTAAGAGCTGATCTTAACAAGATGCATGTGTTTGGCTCAGTTTGTTCTCAGAAGAAGAGGGACAGGCTGATGGTTTAGAAGTGGGAACATGAAGATACCCCACTCGACTCCGAAATAAACCAGCATATTTAAGTGAATATGTAGTAGAAAGCATGATAGATGATACGTCTAAGCTTGCAGTGGATTACTGTTACAGTTGGAATGATTTGCCAATTTCGTATTCAGAGGCTGTAAGATCAACAGATTCAGTCCAATGCAAAAAGGCCATTGACGAAGAGTTTGTTCTCTAGTAAATAATGATGCATTTACACTTACTGAGTTACCTCCTATTAATGCTGAGATAGTAGGTGGCAAATGGGTGCACACAATCAAAAAAGGCATAAACAATGAGGAGACGTTTAAGGCTAGGTACCTAGCTAAGGGTCTCTTACAAACCCCGGGTGTTGATTATCATGAGACGTTCGCACCGACTGCCCGGATGAGCTCATTCCGTGTATTAATTCAACGCGCAGTACATGATCTCGGCTTATCTAAATGCGCCTACTGACTGCGACATATATGTCGAGCTGACTCGAGCAACCAAAGCGTTATGAAAAGATGGATAAGAACGGAGAAAAGCTTGTTTGCAAATTAAATAAGTCGCCTTAAACAGAATGGTAGAAATTTGAATGAAACATTACATGACCACCTGGCCAGAGACTGGTTTTGCAGACCCTTGTGCATGAAGTTTGTTGATGGGAATAGAATGACTTAATATATGGGTGCATGGATGACTTAATATATTCCGCAAGTAACTCAACTTTATTGAAAAGCGTAAAAGATGGTTTGTGTAAGCAATTCAAAATGAAAGATTTAGGCGTTTTACACTGGTTCTTAGGGACTGAATTTAAATGTTCCGATCACGTAATAGAAATGAATCACAAATGTTGAAAAAGTCCTGACAAAATTTAACATGACAAAATTTAACATGAGAAATGAGTGGGCATGGAGTCACCTGACTTAGAGAATCCTAATTTGAATAAGCAGATAGTTGGGAGTCTATATTAAGTGTCTCCGTACATGACCAGACCAACGGTTGCCTCCAGAGTTGCCTCACTTAATGCAACTAAGCATGTCTTAAGATATCTAAAAGGAACAACTCATTTAAGTTTAAAGTTCAGAAGGAGTGAGGACTGCTTAGAATTGATAGGATACAGTGATTCAGATTGGGGAGGAAACGTTAGCGATAGAAAGAGCTTATCCGGATACGGCTTTCTGCTGTCAGAGGGTGGACCCCTGGTATCCTGGAAGAGTAAAAAGCAGCAGACAGTAGCACTTGCGACTTGTGAGACAGAATACATAGCTTTAGCCGAGGCTGTAAATGAAGGTAAATTTCTAAAGCATTTGTACAACGATATTGGCATACTCCAAAATAACAACTGCACAATGATTAATGCGGATAACCAAGTCGCGATCAAATTAGCGAAGAATCCAGTTTTTCACGTGAGATCCAAGCACATAGAAATAAGGTACCATTTCATCAGGCATGACTGAATGCAGCGCAGCACAGTGAGCTAAAGGTATGTACGTTGTGGAGGTTCTACCGTTTTCGATATTTTCGTAGAGATCGGCCGAGTTATATTTCTTTTTAAACTATTACGCTAAGCGACATGCAAAATGGCACTCGTCAAGAGCTCCCAACATAAAAACTTTTGTTTACCTTCTATACTGGTAAAAGTTGTAATTGATTATTTTCAAAGCGTAACAAAACGCAGCAAATCAGTGCGAAAAAGAAACGTCGCCCCTCCTGGCCTAGATTGGATTGATAAGTCTCCTATGATTAAAAAGAGCAGCAGCATGTCGCTTTGAACTGCGTGAAAAGAATGCTCTTACACAATAACGCCCGCCAGGGCAAATTCGTCAAAAAGGCGATTCGTCAACGTCCGCTCCGCCCGCTTTGTTTTTCAGGCCCGTCACGGTCGCATGAGCAGATTTTCAAAAGCCGCTTCGTCCGCGCGGGTGGAGCGAACGATAGTGGAGAATCGCCTTTAGGAACAGTATTGCGTGCGATTCTGACCGTGTCGAGATCAAGATTCAATTGTTGCATTGTCAGATCGACCAACAAGATTCATCAGCAGAAGCCTGTCACTGAACTGATTAGTATGCGCTCTTCCGCTAGGTATTGTCACCAATTTTTTTGGTCATGAAATAACTTGTTAGGCCGAGAATTTCTCGTGTATTTTTTTAAAAAACATAGAAGAAAATCTTTAATTTTGCTGCAAATATTTGCAAACTTCTGCATGCAGTGTTTTTGAATATACCTCTTGGACAACCATAAAGTTCCACTCTCAAGGAGATGTTATTGTTCCATGTCTTTGGGTGTATGCGGATATAACGAGCTGTTATAGTTGGTGATAAAACATTTGTGACAACAGAATTTTCGTCCGCATTTCCATCGAACACCTGAAAGGAAATGTTCAATGGTTGCTGTATTTTGACTATTTCATAATTTAATTGGGATCCTCTGTAATCAATTTTAATTATTGGTTTAAATTTAGGGCGTCATTAATCATTCCCGTCCGGTCTGATTAATTTAGGACTTAAAAGTCCTACTTTTTTAATGTCTAATGGCTCCGCGAATGCGCGAGCAAAAAACACAAAAATTATAGCTTGAGGAAAGTACTATAACCCCATCGTTTCTGTTATTATCCGGAAATTAATAAATATTTCTGTTAACCTGACACTGCCGTGCAGCTGTCAAAATCATATCAAATTACAAAGTGATGACAACCGGAAATATAACTCGCCTTTGGAATTTCGTTATTTTCTTCGTTATTTTTCATCCTTTCGTATTTTAACCGTTATATATAAACTAGAAATGCTTTAGTTATCTTTTCTGATAGTTTTTAAGACAGGATGGGCAGAAAAACTCGAAAAATATCGATTTTTCTGATTTGTTATTGTTTGTAGCGAGACGCGTTGCTGAGCGCAACGCACATGCGGTTGTCGCGTGAGGTGAAAGGTGTCAAAAACTCAACGATGCCTACCCCCTAGGGGTAAAATATATTAAATAAGCCCGGAAATCGATTTCTGGGGTAAAATTGTCCCTAGAAGTCATATATTCGGCCTTTTTGGAGCGAAATTTTTCCCATTATGGTGATAATTATATGCAAATTTTCGGGTTTTCCGTTTGTAAACACGTTTGTTGGAAATACCACTACAAATCGCCAAAACGACTGTATTTCAAGCAAAATAGATGGAAATATTGATCACAATGTAAGCTACAAACATTTGGAGGTTTTTAGGCGAGATTTCTGGAAGGCTTTGCGTATTTTCGCTTCTCTAAAATTCAATTTAAAAAGTACAAGATCGGCAATTAATAGCTTCTCTTTTTTCCTCTGCTTACGGAGCAATTCGGGGGAACTGTGCCCTTTGCTACCATATAAGATGAAACATGAGAAGTTGAAAAAATTAAAGATTCTATGACTGTAAGCCACGAGATAGGGCATGTATTTAAATAATGAAATGGAAACGTTGCGACTATAATGTTTAATCACAAGCAGTACCTGCTCATTATATTAGTAAACATTGATATATGAAAAGGCCTAATAGGAAAACAAATACTGCTCCACTTTCTTCGCTATCAGTGCCATGAATTAAGCAAACATTGACAAACTGTTCAGGTACTGTTTCTGGTCGAGGCCACAAAGAAATACCAGCAGGACATTTCAAAACTACACTACTTATACGACGCACGCAGATAATTTCGATTTTATCTGCAAATTAATATTTTATCAAATCAACTAGAAATTGTATTATCTTAAAGCTAAAACATTTATCTATTTGTATAAGTTTAGTTCATTTCAAAAGCTTTCCTATAAGCCAAGATATCCATTGTGCCTCGTGGCTCCCCTCACACACCTGCCTTTCGTTGACAACATGTGCATTTTTCGAACGGGAATACTTGTTGCGCCCTAGGCTCACCAATTAGAATCAACTAATTCTGAAATCTTGAACCAACATACCGGCTGGGAGCCGACAAGTAATGTCATATTTTAAAAGACTGTAACCAAAGATTCCACCGCAGACTGTGTCTATTTTCACGCTTCGCGACATCGTGTAACCCCTCAGACCAAATCCTTAACTTCAAGTATTATCCTGCAATTATTTATAATTCCGCAAATCATCCCAGTTTTATTAGTTGAATAATGCTATGAATCATCATTATAATCATTAGGCTTTTTATTTCCTTTGCACCGTCCTTATAAGAGGATGAGAGTTAGGAAAAGGATGAGGTAAAAGTAATTTTGAACAAAGGCTGCGGAAATAGCAGTCTTTGTGTCATTATGTTAGGACTGAATTTTATCAGATTGTGAAAATACACTAAGTGTTACAATAAGGACACTGGCTGCGGTAGATCATGTTTTATAGTCGGACAAAAATTTTAGTTATCTGAGAAACTGAAAAACCTCTGCTATATAATAGGTAAATGATGATAGCGCAATATATTATAGCTAAATGCAGTTGACCGCACAATCTAGCTGGGTAATAGCTGTGCAAGATAAAATAATCCTGCACGAAAAATTTAACTGGCTTCGCGCGTGAGATTTTAAAAAGGTTTTGAACAGAGTTATCACAAAGAGCAATTACTAAATGCTTCCCCGTGTGGGATTGGTTGATCGAGATGATGGCATATTGCTCGACTTTAAAAAGGGGTAAGAAATCTCACCCACGGCTCATCTCGCAAAGTCCCTCGTGCGTGGATCAGCTTGCGCGGGAAACTGTCGGTAAAATGGGGCATAATATAATTAATTATAATTTGCTCTCTTTTTTCTGCTTTTGTTTTGCTTTCTTCTTTCTCTGAATATTGAATTTCTTAAATATTTCATCAACACAGTGTAAGTCCTTAACGTATATTTTCACTTATATAGATGACTTTTATATCCATGCAGACCCCTGTTTTTAAATAGTTTCTCGCGTTTTACAAATCTCGGCTACGGGTCATCCATAAAACCCAACTTTTCAAACCCTCCTTCATTCTTCTGGTACTTTTTACGGATACGATCCATTCAACATTAAAGTTTCTCCCAACTGTAGGATATATTCATGAAATTCTTGACCCAGTGATTCCAAAGTAATTTAGAAGGTCGACCTTCCGTGGCAATTGTGTGTCAGAAAGAAGCCATTGGCTCTGACTGTTTGCACAATAATAATATAATGATAGAAATATTATCTCTTTAGCCGCTTACCTTCTGAGTTGCATTGATTTTGTATGAAGTAAGGTTTACTTCATCCATACCGTAAGAGATCGAATAAGTCTTCACCCAATAACCAGTGCCAGAACCTTTAGTGGCAATCGCTGTAATAAGTTCTTTCTGGCCAAAATCAATTCGGAGCCATTGGCTCTGATCATTTTCTGTGGGACACCAACCACTCCTGTATAATCTCCCTTCTGATGCAGAAAATCCACTTTTTTCAGTTGATGATGTCAGCTTTTTATCGCTCACTCCAAGTGGAACTTCACTTCTGTTGCAAGAGCCTTGTTGCCAGAAATGCAAAAAGTAAGTACGCGTGTAAGTGAATTACTTTTTTAATTGCGCACATTCACCATTGTCCCAGCCAAGTAAAATAATACTAACCAGGTAAGTGCCAGATTGAAGAAGCACAATGAATAATTTAAACTAATTAAATTATCGTAATCTAAAAAATTAGAATTAGGATGATAGGAATATTTGTCATGAATTATTGTAAGAACTTAAACATTCCTAATTCACCAAACACATATTTCTACTACATCACATATATGCTTTGCTGCATTATTAGACACAAAAAATAGGCGTGGTAAAGATCTTTGCTCAGTGTTTCACTGGCTCGCGTCTGCGACAAGCATATTTGCTCGGTGTTAACATATTTAAATTCTAGCAATATTTGATCTTGGAAGATAATAATTTTCGCTCCGTTGACACTTCCATATAGTCCATGCAACGCTAAACCTTGGCGTCAATTATAGGATGTACGGTAAGGTAAACGAGAAGTGGATACGTTGAGTATTGTTTACCTGTGTAGCAACCGAAAACTTCGATCCTCAGAGATATGTTGTGAAACCAAGACACTGGATGTATGCGGATATAACGCGCGGTTATTGCTGGAGATAATACATTTGTAACGACAGACATCTGGTCTTCATTGCCATTAAATACCTATCATATGTAAAAGATTGAAGTAGTTATATAGACACATTCGGGTCGAAAATGCAAACCATTTCCATGCACACTTCAAAATTCAATACAATACAATACAAAATTTGCAAATATTGCGACGTCTATTTTCCGCTTTTTTCAACATTGAGGAAAGTTAGTTAAGAAAATTCGCAATTTCATAAATGATTGATAATGAATATTTTCTGGAAAACATTGTGCATGCCCGTTATTTTAAATCGTTCTGAATCTATGCAGAACAACCAAAGAGAAGGTTGTTTTCAGTAAACATAGAAACTGGCTTTAAAGCTCTTTTACACTCGTCGCAAAATCAACTCGCAAACTCGCTGCGAGTGTTTCTATCTAATTAAAATAAACTGCAATGCAAGCATTGATTAGACGAAGTTACACGAAGCGAGCTTGCGAATTTCTGCGATGAGGGAGTGAGAGCTGTTTGCCGTTGTTAGTAGATAAATTACTCTTTGCTAATACGTTACCTTGTTAACTCCGTCGTTTGTGTAATTCTTGTAATTAACTCCGTCCAAACTGTATGACACGAAGTAAGACTTCACCCAGTCATCGGAGTTCCCAGCACCCTGAGTGGCAATTCCCGTAGCGATTTCCTCTCCACCAAGATCAACCTGAATCCATTGCTTGTCGTCATTTGTCAGCGCTCTCCAGGAGTTTTCGCCTTTCAATCGCCCATTTTTTTCGGAGTACATCGTCCTATTTTGGTAAACACTTGAAGATCTCAACTGAGAATGGTGAATCTTGCCATTTTGTAATCCAAATGCAACCTCCCATGACTTGCAATGACCTAATATTTGACACAAAATAAGATGAATGCGTGTAGCATGATTCATGACCTCAAGTTTGCTATTGAATGACTTTAGTAATAATAAAGTCGGACTACTAGGCATGGATAACATTCGTATTTAATTTAATAATAGCTCTAAATATGGATTTCTATACGCATTGGCCATGCTTTGCTGCAAGCTTAGAGGCTTTGCATGGCAAATTTGTGGTGAAATGCATGCAGTTGGCTTTTTGATATATTTTGCATTTCCTTACTACATGCTTTCCTGCATGGTTTTAATTTTTTTTCTGATGACGTCACCATTATTTTAAAACACTGTTATATGAGCTACGTTTTCATTAAAAATAAGTCAAAATTGGTGTTGTCGGTCGAAAATTAGGCAAAGTCAGTTTTCACTTCCGGAAAACCGCTGAACAATCATTTTGGGAGGAAATGAAAAATGGAGAACACGATGTGCCCCGCTCCTACACCAATGATCGAACACGATGTCCCCCCACTCCTACCCCAATGATCGGCTGCAAAGCAACGAAACTTTTAACATGCAATTAATGAAATTATTTTACTTAAATAAGATTCAGTACACACTTTTTATAGCCGTTCGAAATTTTTTATTTGTTTAAAACCAACATCATCTTGTTGAACGGCGAAATAACAGCGATATTATTAAAATAGGACCAGAATCTACATGTATTAAATATGATCTTACCCCAATTCAATCTAAACTTAATCGAACAGCATGAAAAAAATGGTTTATTTGTTCCTCTTGGAGGAATTGCGGTATCATGCGAGCGAAATCGAATCGCGCGTCGGAAAATTAGCCAAAGTTGTGCACCACAACTCTTGGGAGATAAGACTGGGACGTAGATAAATACGGTCACATACACCTTTCAAATACAGTATATTTCGCGCCATTACCGACTTGCGACGGCGAAAAATAATAAAAAAAAACAAAAACAAAACAAAAACCCGGGCGAATTTTCAACTCCGTCGCTGGCGCCGGAGTAATAAGATATATTAGTATAGACTTTTGGGCGCAGCATTTTTGCAAATTTAATACCGACGTTATGAAATCATACCTGTATAACAACCATAAAGTTCGAATCTCATGCCTGCGTATCCGTACGATGTCTTTGGGTGTATGCGAATATAACGCGCTGTCACAGCCGGTGATAAACGATTTCTCACAATGGAATACTTGTCATAATTTCCACTGAATTCCTAAAATATCAACTCAGTGATGTTCTTGAAAAAAGACTCATGCATAGTAAATACATCAAGTGTGGAATTCTATAGGAAACCATTTTATCAGGAAAAGATCAGTCTTCATAACCTTAAAGGGATATGGCAATTAAAATTATTTCTGTTTTGTTCAAAACAAAATTTGCATTTCTTATAGAGACTTTTTACAAAATTTGTTTATCTTCCTTACTTCGCAAGATATTAGCGATCAAAAACATCGACCATCGAGATATATTCGCCATCTTGCTTTATAATGAAATCTAATTACGTGACGTCAAAGCAGGGTTGACGCTTAAAAATAGCAATTACATGTTTACGCTTTACTTTAGAACTCTTACAATTCAAGCGTTATAATTAGAGATACGTGTGATTCTAATACCATGGAACTATCACTTCACCGGATCGTTAATTTGAAGTTACAAAACGAATTTTCACCCAGCTTATGACGTCATGCATATTAGAGCAAAAAAATGCATATCCAAAATGGCGGATGGAAGATAATTTATTCGAAAATATCTTGAGAAGTAATAAAGTTAACAAAAATCCGTAAACGAATTTTGTAAACAATCATGATGAAAATAGGCAAAGATAATTTTTATTGCCGTATCCCTTTACTGTTCATATATCTTATGATACATGCCAAGCCTGAAGCGTATATAAGCATATTCCTCCCTTTTGTTTGATAAAAGCATACAAGAAAGGAATATCTATACCCATCTGCGTAGAATTTTATATAATCCAGCAGACTTGCAATCCAAGCACGATACATGGATTGCATGTAAACACGAACATTACAATTTCAGCAAAGCCGGACTGTTTTTAGCTATTTTTCAATGTATCTGCATGATTTTCCCAATGCCGGTGCGTTTTTCGTCAGATAGGCTACAATTTTTTGTGTACGTACTTTAAGATGAGGAGAACATGGGACAATACATTTACAGCCACAAATTTAACAAGATTTAAAACAGTGTACGCAAGCAACAAAACCATGACCTTTGGGCGTCGCTAACAACACAAGATTTGGAGAATATAGGGTGTTTACGATTCACGACGTGGCCAGCTCGACGACGTGCTTGTAAAACAAAAAAACTCCACACCCGAGTTGGTTTTAATTCTTGTTTGCGTCACTGGTTGGGCTCGGCTAAGTGGAATTTGCAAATATCTGCATCATATACGTTTGCATTAACCCATCGAAGACAAAAACTTACCCTAATTATTCTGTTTATTTTATGAAAATCAAAAATTTTTCCATCTGAACTATACGAGACGGTAAACGTCTTCACCCATCGCGATCCCGATCCTTGAGTTGCAATCTCTGTGATAGTTTCATTTCTGCTAAGATCGACTTCAATCCATGAATCTGAATCATTTTGTTTCGCACGCCAGGAACCAGGGCCATTCAATCGAGCCTTTCGTGCAGGAAATTTCTCACTATATTCAGCTGATGCCGTTATCTGGGAATCAGAAATCTTCATGTTTTCCATTCCTAGTGCGGCCTCTTTGCATTGTCCTGAAAGTATCACAAATGTTTTGTTTAAATCATGGGAGCTTACTTTTCAATCACCTTTGCCTTCCTGACAGGCTCGTTATCACACAGGAAGTTTCTCAGTATGAGGTGCCGTTACCGCCAAAATTCAGACACGTTATTTTATAAAATGCAGGGTCGAATTTATAAAATGCAGGGTCGAATTTATAAAATGCAGGGTCGAATTTATAAAATGCAGGGTCGAATTTATAAAATGCAGGGTCGAATTTATAAAATGGAGGGTCGAATTTATAAAATGCAGGGTCGAATTTATAAAATGCAGGGTCGAATTTATAAAATGCAGGGTCGAATTTATAAAATGCAGGGTCGAATTTATAAAATGGAGGGTCGAATTTATAAAATGGAGGGTCGAATTTATAAAATGCAGGGTCGAATTTATAAAATTGAGGGTCGAATTTATAAAATGCAGGGTCGAATTTATAAAATGCAGGGTCGAATTTATAAAATGCAGGGTCGAATTTATAAAATGCAGACCGGGGAGCAGGGGGATGGGGAAGTAGGGGGAGGGGGAACCGGTGAACGGTGAAAAACCGGCGAACGGTGAAACCGGTGAACGAGTCAGCGGGGGAACCGGGGAATGGGGGAACCAAAAAATGGAACAGAGGGATGAGGGGAACCGGGAAACAAGGGAAAAGGGTAACGGTACAACTATGGACTCATTCTGTCTCATTGAGCATCTAAACTAATAGTAACAGTCTTAGCCTAAAAGGAACAACTGCTATAGTATATATTATCCACATTCTACGCGAGTATACAGTACATTAATGCTCTCTGCATCTAGGATGCTAATTAAACATATATTTATTGTTATTAATGCCAACCTGGAAAGTGTTAATTGTTAATTGTTATTGTGAAACTCAGGCACTCTTGTATTACATTTTACAAAAGTGAAAAATCATAATATATATGCCTTTCAGTAAAAATTAAAACTATAAATAGACAAATGGTATTGTTGTGTACTAGTGTGTTCATTTAGTTGGCATGCAAATTTTCATTTCAATAGTGATATCTATTCAAAATATAATGACAAATGCAACAGCTAGAACATATGTTATATGGGAATAACATTGCTCAAGAAACTGTTATGTGTATAAAATTTTCATGTTTGCATTTGCTTTCAACAAAATCAATAAATGAACCCACTGACCCTTAACTAAGGACCGTCATTCTTTATTATCGGGTTGGGGGCTGAAGAGAAAAGGGTAGGACTAGGGTAACGGAAAATGAATTGTTATTAACAATATAAATCCTTTCATTATTAAAATCTGAAACCAAGCATGAACTAGCTATACAATCCTAAATTATTATCCATCAAGTGACTGACATCAGCAATTTATAGTCATACAAAGCTTAAAATCTTATAAAATCTTGGCATTATTAATGAGTCTCATTCCTTGGTAGGAAGTCTCAGGCCTATGCACAGGCCTATTACATAATACACATATATTACATAATACACATGGGGAGCAGGCGAACTGGGGAATGGGGGAATAGGGAACAGGGTAGCAGAGGAATAGGCAAACTGGGGAGCAGATATCACTATTGAAATGAAAATTTGCATGCCAACTAAATGAACACACTAGTACACAACAATACCATTAGTCTATTTAAAGTTTTAATTTTTACTGAAAGCTGAAAGGCATGTATATTATGATTTTTCACTTTTGTAAAATGTAATACAAGAGTGCCTGAGTTTCACAATAACAATTAACAATTAACACTTTCCAGGTTGGCATTAATAACAATAAATATATGTTTAATTAGCATCCTAGATGCAGAGAGCATTAATGTACTGTATACTCGCCTAGAATGTGGATAATATATACTATAGCAGTTGTTCCTTTTAGGCTAAGACTGTTACTATTAATTTAGATGCTCAATGAGTCCATAGTTCTACCGTTACCCTTTTCCCTTGTTCCCCATTTCCGGGTTCCCCCAATCCTTCTGTTCCCCCATTCTTTGGTTCCCCCATTCCCCGGTTCCCCCATTCCCCAGTTCCCCCGCTGACTCGTTCACCGGTTTCACCGTTCACCGGTTTTTCACCGTTCACCGGTTTTTCACCGTTCGTCGGTTCCCCTCCCCCCACTTCCCACCCCCCTGTTCCCCGATCCCTGTTCCCCCATTCCCACATCCCCCCATTCCCTATTTTAAAGATAGCCGATAATAGCCCTCGGTTTTAACCTGCATTTTATTAATTCGACCCTGCATTTTAAAAATTCGACCCTGCATTTTAAGAAAATTCGACCCTGCATTTTAAAAAAATTCGAACCTGCATTTTAGGAAAATTCGACCCTGCATTTTATAAATTCGACCCTGCATTTTATAAATTCGACCCTGCATTTTATAAATTCGACCCTGCATTTTATAAATTCGACCCTGCATTTTATAAAATAACGTGTCTGAATTTTGGCGGTAACGGCACCTCATATCTCAGAAGGGTGGATAATCCTTTTCAAACGACTTGTTTAATTTATTTTATTGATTAATTATAATATCGCAATAATCGCACAGTTATTGACTTAGCTTTCTGCCTTTTAATGGTACATGCAGTCGTGTGGACATTGCTACAGTAATGCTGCTGCGCGGTATTAAATCACCGTTACATGCTTAATCGCTTATGGTTAATTTTATTTGGCAAAATCAACAAAAAAATGCTTTTTAAACAAAAAAAAATTGTTTAGGAAATAATCTGAGGTAACCAATTTTACATTATTTGCTGTTTTAAGAGATGATGAATTTTTTCAGTAATTATTTACTATTTTTTACTGATGCCCAACACGTTTAGCATTAGCTCTTGTTTTCAACTTTGGCCTTCAATCTATTAATAGTGCAATACTTTATATCTTCCCAGCATCAAATTATAAAATTTGAATTCGATGAAGCGATTTATGGTAGTTATGCATGTTATTTTCCGTATATTGTGTTGTTAGATTTCACGAACTCTTTTTATTATCCTTGCGTCACATTATTTCTTGTAGCAATTTAGATCCAGCAGATAACAACTAAGCTCATGTTAATAACAGGTAAAAAATATTAAGAGTCAAAATTCTTCTGGAAAGCATGCACCTAGACGAATATTTTAACGCTTGTTGAATTGTTCTTCTAAAAACTTTTAACCCATCCAGACTCCAGCTACGGTGATACTGTATATATTATTATTTGGATAGCAGAATCCTTGTTGTTATTCTTGGTTTTGATGTTGCTCTAAAAAAGTGGGTATAGGGCTCCTCACCCCAGTTTTGCACAAATAGGGTTGCGATAAACTCGTCTGTTAGTAAACATCGCTTTAAGAGTAATTATATGCATGATTATATGTACACTTCTGAAATTGAC